TCGTACCATATGATGGAGGGAGTGTCATTGTGTGGGAAGGGATCTGTGGGCAGGAGAGGTCACCGCTGGTCATCGTTGACGGAAACAGCGTTTCACGGATAACATTCTTCGTCGAGTTGTCCTACCATTTCTCCAACAGCAGCCACGTGGTGTCATTTATCAGCATGACAACGCTAGAGCCCATACAGCCAAAATGGTCACTAACTTCCTCGCAGCCAACCACGTCAACGGCCTGCCGTGGCCTGCACGCTCACCCGACATGTCCCCCATAGAACACCTCTGGGACTTGATGGATCGTCGTGTTCGACAACGACCACACTCTCCAGCCAACCGGCAAGAACTGAGCTTGGCCCTCCAAGAAGAATGGCGTCAAATCCCACGTGACCTCATCAGACGACTGACTTTTTCTGTGCGTCGAAGAGTTTTTGCGTGTATTGAGGCATTTGGTGGTCACACACGCTACTAATGACTTGTTATGGAACGTGAGCGATTGTTTATGCACTCTGCCTATTGTCCATGATTCTGAAAGTTCGAGTTTTGTACTACACCCAACTTTGGGGGGCTCTGACGTCATTCTCGGTCGCGGTATGATTGTCATTTTCAGTGTTGATTATGTTGACATATATAAGTATCTTCTCAATACACTTTACTTCATGCATGTATGTTTTGTTGTTTTTGAGCAAGAGTGATTTCAAACTCTGGTAAAGTTTCTTTTGGACGTCAGTTTATAATATGACTTTAAGTATTCACGATACAATGCTATTCTAAGTTCTGTGACTAGAGCTACATATAAGAGTATCTTTTGGGCTTGTAAATGTAATCGACAAACCCTTTCCATAATCACAAAGGACCAGTGAAGAGCCGCAGTAGAATATCTTTTCAGCAACCAATACTTGCCGTAAAAGGCGACTATGCTTGTCGTAAGAGGCGACTAACGGGATCGGGTGGTCAGGCTCGCTGACTTGGTTGATGCATTTCATCGATGCCAATTGCGTTGATCGATGCTCATGATATCAATCACTGGATTGTCTGGTCCAGACTCGATTATCTACAGACCGCCTTCATATAGCTGGAATATTGCTGAGTGCCACGTGAAACAACAAGCCAACAAACCAACCAAAACCACACAGTTATCTGAAATTGCCAGTCTTGAAGGGGGCACGGGTGGCCCAGTCGTCTAAGGCGCCGCGATTCGCTGTGCAGAGTTGTGTCCCTTAGGCACGCCAGAAACCTATGATTGTATGTTCGAATCCCGGTTCGCCTCGATTATGTTTCTAGGTTTATCAGCACCATACCCGTGCTCATGGGTTTCACCGAAGTGGTAAACGTCTGAGACCTGATCACTTCGGGCTTTCCTCCCACATTAAGCTGACACGCCGCGATATAACTGGAATCCTGTTAAAAGCGGCGTTAAACCCGACTCACTCACTCAGTTTTTGAAGCTATACCTTGGTATGCATGTTTCTTCTTTTGGTGATAACATGTTTTGCTTTGTTCATATCTTTGGAATTTCATTGCTCAATATTTATCCAATATTGGATGACGTAAAGCAAATCATCACAATTGTCTTAAAGAAATTGATCTTTATGTGGGGAAATCAAAGCTTTATTCTGTTATAGTACACATTCTGTTTTATATTTGAATGGAAATTGATTTGGGGTTGAAGGTAAATAAACGACAATGGTTGTTTTTGGTGGTAGACCTCGAATAATGAAGGGACGGTATTATCAACTATACTCTCTTTCTAGATATTCTAGGATATGGACTGAAGGTTATTTCAAGCTGATGGGCATTTATGGAACTATGCCTAAATGTTTATGCATTTCAACTTCTTTTACAATGATTGCATCCATTAGGAGATTTAATGGTACCGTTTTGTGGGAGAATGAAATACTTTCGGTTTTCTCAGGGTTGAACTAAACGCTGAAGACAATGTTGACCTGGCGACTATGCTTGTCGTAAAAGGCGACTAACGGCATCGGGTGGTCAGGCTCGCTGACTGGGATGATACGTGTCATCGATCCCAATTGTGTGGATCGATGCTCATGCTGTCAATCGCTGGATTGTCTGGTCCAGACTCGATAATTTACAGACCGCCGTCATATAGCTGGAATATTGCTGCGTGCGACGTTAAACAACAAACTAACAAACAAACAAACATCAGTTATAGATGCACTCGAATGTAAAACACATTGTCAATACAATTTCAATACTCAAGACCCGTTAAATACCCGTTTAAACAACAGCAGCTTTTTAAACAATATTTCCATGTACGGTACTTACCCTGACACAATACAATCTGCGTCATCTATCGACTTTCCCGCTTACGATGCTCACATGTTTCTGATCGGCGGAAATCCTTTGGTAAGTAAACGATTCTCACGGATGAAATATTTAATATGCAACCCGTAAAACACAAAACATATGATTGATTATCTACCAGCAGTGTACAGTATGCGTAGCATTCATTTTTTGTGTGCACTTTGCGACTCTGACGCTGACATTCACACTGAAATAAATAAATCAATAATTCCACAAAGGACACTTAGTACATAGTACTCCAGGAGAAATAGAATGAGGTATCACAAATGATTCGATCCCGTCTGTTGCGGGGCACATTTGTGATAAATATTTGAATTGTATTCAATGGGGTTTTGGTCCAATTTTGAACATGGTCTACGCAGGTGGTTAAGGGTTATCTTATGCTAATTTAAGAACCACTGCAGACAGTTTCCAATCGAAATATTTGGGGTACGTACAGGGATGCAACATACCCATGACATTCAATGTTTAGGTCTATCTAATCTATCATGCCATCTGTGGGTACACCCGTCCCGCTTTGACAGCTACGCTGTATTAAGGATAACGTGCTAAATAATATAGTTGCTTACCACTTTTGTCACATTCGTTTTGGTACGCCTTGAGACCAACAGCTTACTTTATGTGGTCTTTTAAAAAGCGTTTGAATTGGTATTCGTTTCCAAACGTTTCACTTTATTGCTAGAATCAAAAATAATCTTGAGACCAAGGTAATATTTATTCAAGAGAAAACAAACTTCAGAGTTAATGTCTTGTGTGGTGTCTTTGGTGTTTTTTACCCAAAATAGTGCGATTGTGAAACACAAAGTAAAAAGGTGTTTGCAGCTCAATGCCTAGACTAACATCTAGTCTCTGAAATGAACATATCGTAATAAAAATATAATAAAAGGGAGCCCAGTGACTCTCTTCATTTTCAGAGTAATATAGACTTGCCAAACATTATAGACTTGCATGGGCTGTATTTGATATATATTTGTATCAGGGTCTGTAAGACAGACTACTCCATGCCCAACCGTCCCTTCCCTGAATGCCCCAATACTGAACCCCATGCTGCCTTAATACCAAAGTATGTTTAATTACATCGGTCCCTATTTCGGGAAACGTATGCACAAACAGTTAATCCTATGTTTCTAGCTACCTTAACACCAAAATTAAAAGGACTTCCGTTATAATGATATCACTTCGATTTGGGAGAAAATTGGACCCGGTGGAGTACAATCTTAAAAGGGGCAGTGCTTGTAGCCACTTAAATCAAATTAAAGTAAAGGCACTTCCAGTTTAATGACTCGACTTCTTGTTTGGGACATCATGCTCATTGTAGTGCACCGACACTAGCTAACTTCATGACAAAGTTATTATCTCTTCTGGGTTAATGACATCACTTAGGTGCCTCTAACAGCATTAATAAAAAAATAGTAGTACTTCAAGGTTTGTGATATCACTTCCGGTTTACGAATTTAAAACGCCAACGCCGGATAATCACCAGTCTCTGAAGCAGGTTCCATGGGGCGTAAAGGAAAAATAGCGGTGAAAATTATGTGAATGGATCACACAAAAAATCAGTGACCAGCTACATATGGATATCTATACAAACAGGCGGATCAATAGTTATCGCTCACACAGAGGGAAGGGAAAACATAAATATAAACGCAAACGCCAGAAAATCAAAGCGCGGTGAACAATATATGATATGATCACAAAAAACCCAGTGATGACACCAGGTGTTCGCGAGTACGCATGTCTTGCCCTATCGGGGCGGTCGGGTAGCCTATTGGTTAAAGCGTTCGCTCGTCACGCCGAAGACCCGGGTTCGATTCCCGACATGGGTACAATGTGTGAAGCCCATTTCTGGTGTCCCCCGCCTTGATATTGCTGGAATACTGCTAAAAGCGGCGTAAAACTCACTCACTCACTCACTTGCCCTATCGGTAGCACGCGGCATCCACACAATTTGCATAAAAAATGTAAACACATGTCTAAAGGAAGACAATATAAGACAGAACATGTTGTGCCTGTAACTTCATTTCCGGTTTAATGATACCACTTCCGGTTGGATGAAATACATGCCATGCCTGTAGCTACATCAGCATCAATAGAGGTCCATGAACTCCCCTTTTAGAAACTTCACTACTGGTGTTAGAAATAAATACGTATGTGCATTGCATGACAATTTAAATGCATCCAGCTAGCTTCCAACGAACGTCATATGTACTCCCGGTTTAATTACCTTGACCCCCAATTTCAACCAATCACATACTTGACTATTTCTGATTGAAGACATGGTACTTGTTATCACGAACGATAATGCACTTTGCGCAAAGATCGCTTTCAGAAAACTCCAAGGAATACACTCCATATGAAGTAACGGTTTTATGTGTTACTATTATCATAAGAGACGACTTAACCGATTCCTATACAATATTAAACATAACCGCCATATTGAAAATTACCATTTTTGAGTGAGTGAGTGAGTGAGTTGGGTTTAACGTCCACTTTTAACACTCCGTCAGTATTCCAAATGCCAAGGCCATTTTGTTTTTCACAATTCGATTTTTGTTCTTTAACAACTGTGTACCTTTAGTATGAAGGAATAAAACGCCAAAAAAAATAAGGCTGAAATATGGCGCTGTTAAACAACATACACATTACGGAAGTTATATGGTTCGATTCCAACTTTGCAGGCACAATGGCTATACAGTTATTCATGTCAGTCGCCCTGTCTGATGTTCTTGACACCAGTCTGACACCAGCCATGACAAGCACTTTGTTCAACTGTGTGATACAGTGTTACTCAAGCACTGGATGTTCCTCCATCTTCTACAACAAAGCGACTCACCAATGTGCAGTGTCATCGCACGTATATCGAGAAGGCGACAGTGTTCTAGCATCTTCCACGGGAATGAAGCTGTACACTTGGAACCAAGGTAGGGGATGAAGCGTTTCCCAAGCTATGTAAATACAAGTCAACATAGATTTACGATTCCGACTATATCATGAGCTCATATACAAATAGTGATGATACCAGGTGTTTGCGAAAAGGTGAGCGAATCCCGTCCTATTGATGGCACTCGTCACAAACACATGCAAAGGAAAGTCAATAGTTCACCTGAAAAAAACGGGAACATATGGTATAAGTCCAAATAGGGAAATGTATCGGACATGATCTTTGTCACTGATTGGTCAAATTTGGGGATGTCTACCATAAAACGTTTTGAAAGCTTTACTGAGGCCTTAAATGTTGAAACCTTGATCAACCAACTTTTGAGCTAGAGTCGTATGACGCTGTTTGAAATTTTAGCAGAAAGAGCATGCTCGATGTGAGTCAAGTTAATAGTTCACCTGACAAAACATACAAGTATGCTCGGTTGTATCTCAAAGTTGTGAAAAGTAAACACCAAAGGTTGGAGCTGCTGGAATATTGGCCGACATTGAAGGGGAGTTTGACTATTGAACATTTGAAGTCATCCCTCTTGTCATACAATCTTGAGGGGAGTGTTTTGTCACTCTGAATCTTTATGCATGGTCCTTAATTGAAACAGATGAGCCAGCCTCCCTGGTCTCCAATATGTCACTAGCAGGTGGGTAAATCAGTGGAAGGGGCGTGGCTATTTGATGGTTATTAAACTGCATCAGATCATCGATATGCCTGAAGCTTAAGTTAAACTTCTTGGCCAAATATACTTGTTTGGACTGACATAAATTTCGAAACAGATCAGCAAAATCAGCGAGAAGGGGAGCACAATTGGTTCCCATGGGGATGCCTATTTCTTGGTAAAATATCTTCCCCACAATTTGTATACGGATGTTATCAAAGAGGAAGTCCAACGTGCGAGGAAGCACTCATATGTTACTTCGGTCAAGAAGTGGTAAACGTCTGAGACCTGCATCACTTCGGGCTTTCCTCCCACATTAAGCATGACCAACTCATTACATCTTTTATTATCTATTATCTCGTTTATATTTCACTTAATCAATAAAAGTCTCTCTTTTAGCTGGATGTCCGTTATCAGCTGGCTGGATTTACCACCGTCCCTCAAATCTCTGCTACAAGCGCAATGATTACAAGGTGGACATAACTACGGCAGAGACTGCGTGCAGAGATGCTGGAGCAAGACTTGTTGTCGTGGACACCGCCGAGAAGAACGCTCATCTCCTAACATTACATCCGACTTCAGGTGAATATGAATGCTGCTCAGCCAGCAAAGATCATAGGCGGCCTTACTTTGTTTCTTTAACGCCGCCGCTGACCTCACTGTCTGGGCACGATGACAAGATATCCACTCAGTCACCCAGCTACCACTCATATGAAGTATTTTGCCAATACCAGGATTTTATTATCATGTCGCGATTTATCATTTAGGACTATGAGCAGAAACTTTAACTAACGTATACAATACCCCATCTTAAAATAGTTAGTCCACATATTGCAATGTCCGTTTTCGTACATTCTGTTATCCCTCACCCAAACGTATTTTTTAAGGGACCTTATGTCATGGCACGTTGTCTGTTGTGAATTCGTTTGGTTGTCCGTACCTCGTGAACTTTAACATGGGTGACAGCTCCTCGATAACTCCAAAGCATATAAAGTTGAAACATTGCAAGAATTGTCTCAGCTATAGTATCTCCAAATCGTGGACATCGAATCTCGATCACATTATTATACATGGCATCCACGTCAGCCCTATTGAAACTATCAGTTTTGCATATTATGAAATTTTATATCCATACCATATGTAATTGAGCTTATCTGTGTTGTAGACCTCTGTTGTTAGCTTTGTTTATGCGTCTTTGCTCATGCATTATGTACACCTTCACAGATAACAAATTTTGTTTTGTTGCATATTGCGACGTTTCGATGTACAGTAAACTACGGTTATAACGAATTCAAACTGACCACTAATTTTAGTGCGTTATAACCGTAGTTCGTTATAAGGATATATACAGCATATATACAACAAATGGCCGGGACTTAAAAATAAGTTCGTTATATCGTCCAGTTCGTTATTAGCGTGTTCGTTATAACCGTAGTTTACTGTATATTCTTACACCATTATCACGCTGGAGTGACAAAAAACATGAGTGATGAGTGGTAAGAGAGCATGACATGTTGTGATAAGCAGCAGATAAACATTGACAACAGCAGGTAATAGATTACAAGTAGCATATACTAGGAGTTAATTGGGTGAGGCCAAATGTACAGTAGGAACAACAAATAGAACACAGGTAATGAAGCACACGGGTAATGAAGCCAGATGTACAGTAAGGATAAGAATTAAAAGTATGAAACAGTTGTGACAAACTAAGTTTATCTTGGCTGGTTAGTTATGTTGAACAAAGGTTTGTGATGGCGGATTTCAATAGCTTCTGAGAGTTTTCTTTTGGTGTGAAGTCCTGATATTTGGTTGAGAGGATTTGGACTTTGTCGAAATTAATTTGACGGCTAGGGGTGTTTTGCTGGTGGTCTGAGAGGGTTGATTTGCCGTCTGCTTTGGCTGTTGAAGTCTTATGTTCTTTGGTGCCGGTATCTACTTGGCGGGAGGTTTCAGCAATGTACGAGTCACCACAGTCACAGTTAATCTTATAGATTACTCCTTTGGGGGCTGCTTGTTGGAGTGTTGGAGTGGGGGTTACGGCCATTAACTAGTAGGATGGTTCTTAGGGATGGGGAGTCAGTGAAGATGGTGCATGGGGTAGATGCCTGCTTGGTGCTTGTTTGATGTGAGGCCTTGCCAGTGAATGGTAAGGTGATTGTGATAGGGCGGATGATGGTCTTGTTGGTGTAAGTTTGGGCTAGAGTGTGGTGGAGATGGTCCTCTTGACTAGCTTGGTCGGGTTCTGGTTGAAATTGGTGAAGACTTAGTTTTCAGGGTTGGATAGAGTTGATAGAGTTGATAACTTAAGCACCAAGCAGGCATCGACAGCATCTTCACTGGCTCCCCATTCTTTAGAACCACCCTCCCGCAATGTCCGTAACCCCCCAGTGCCAATCAAACACTCATGCATGACCTTTTTGATCTTATACGATGACTGTGCAGGAATAGGAGGACCAGTAAATGACAACTCATTCGTATGCAGCTATTTTTTACGACCTCATATACTGAGTGTCATTAACCGCGCTTGAGAGTGTAGTCCATAACGAGGGGGCTGTAGTTTTTCCTGCTATGCTTTAATCATTGCAAGGATCATAATTTTACTTATGCCTATTTTGCAGCTTGATGTTGATGTCCTGCATCACTTTTGTGTTGTTACATATATGCTACTAGGAATATGGACTGTGTGATAACACCATGTGTTTGTGCATGTACGTCAGTTTGCCCTGTTTTGATTATAGAAACATGTATATATTTTTGTTTATATCCTGTCAAGCTGTTTTACACTACACATTCATAGATGCTTTCAATCTAAATTTTCTTTTCTCCATGGGACACATTTCAGCTATTTGCGCCTTTGCTATATGTCTGAAATATTGCCAAGCCGACATTTAATACCAACTCACTCTTATTTCGAATAAACAACAAGTTCAATATCCTATTGGGTTTTACAGGTGATCATTCTTGGATTGGGCTTCGCAAAGTCTCTGGAACTTGGAAATGGAGCAATGGAGAAACACTTGGGCCTTTCAATGCCTGGGAAAAAAATCATCCCATCAATGGCAAGGAGTGTGGAATTTTATCAGGGTACCTTCAAGGATGGTCATCATTTTCTTGTCTAACTGGTACTAATATTAACTATATATGTGATAAAGAGGTCAATTCTTATTCACGTCTTAAGCTTAAAATATTAAAGTGAAAACAGAAATGTAATGTTTTGCATTTGGCGCATTAGTTTCTTTGTTCCTTAGAATGAAATCACGTGCGATCTCATGTAAAAGCCACACAGATTCTGATGTCATTAAATCTGTGAAACATATTTCCGCCTCAACATGACTACACACTACACGAATAAAACAATTTCTTGACGTTTGGAATAGTATGGGCATTATTCTAATTGCATATATTGCACATCTAAGCAAAGTTGAGGGTATTTTGTTTTCGTGTGACACTACACCAATTTCGGGCAATGAAAGTAAGTGATTTATGTAGCATTTCCGAAGAAATCAAGCTCCCAAACACAACATTGTAACAGTCATGAAGCACGTGACCTCGGGCAGAACATGCAAAGGGTGGTATGCCAGATTTACGATTGTCACTCAGATTCAGACACTTTAATAAACATATTTGATAATTAAGGAAGCAACAGTATTGATTAAGCGACGTTTGCAACGTGTTAAAAGTTTACGTGCGATAGGCATGTTGCAGGTGGGCACATGTCAAAATAATGTTGCCCAAACGCTGCATATTTTCTAATCTGTCATCAGCAGTCCCTTACCAGAGCGTAGTGACATACTTATATTTCATGTGTGCGTATACGATTTGAAATAAATATAACTTGGGAAGTTTACTATTCTCAAACCATATACGGCGTTAGACGTTAGAAATTAGACATTTCCCTCAATTCTACAGAAATAAATAGGAAATTATACAATTTCAAATGATTTGCAGAGTCACGTTTGGCACATATGAATTGCGATTACCTTCTATAAGTTTAAAATGCTTGGATAAATAGAAGCCGATACGTGAGTTGTGTGTCATTTTATTTTCCTTTCATTGCAATATACAGGTATATGTATCAAATTTCAATCGAACCGTACGAAAAAATGGAAACATAAGGAAAGATAACTAATATTAAATATGAACGGTGTTTCCCTACACAGTCTGTAAACGAAATAAAGGCTCGTTATAGTAGAAATAATTAATTGCAAGAGGCAATGAGGAAGATCAATCTTAAGCTTGTTTCTAACATTATACTATAGTGGACCATGTGAGGAAGAATTATTGCGAGAGAAACATTATGCCTTCAGTGCAAATAAACACTAAGGTTTTAGATTAAATTAACATTGATGAGAAACTCATATATTCCAAGATAAAATTCATGTGAAGCTTTTGCTGGCACAGTTGGGTAAATAAAAAAATGTATTGTACCGCCATTTTAGTTACCAGTAGAATAGTATATTCAGTGAGAGGTACGGAATAACAACGCAGTCAAATGGAAACTTAAGATACATGTTTGATTGTTTGTTTGTTTGTTGTTTAACGTCTTACTCAGCAATATTCCAGCTATATGACGGCGGTCTGTAAATAATCGAGTCTCCACCCGACAATCCAGTGATTGACACCGTGAGCATCGATCCACGCAATTGGGATACGATGACATTTATCAACCAAGTCGGAGAGTCTGACCACCCGATCCCGTTAGTAGCTTCTTACGTGTGCCATACCGTTTTGCATTGTAATTAACCCTGTAATATAATTTGTTTGTTTGTTGTTTAACGCCAGACTCAGCAATAGTGGGGCTATATGACGGCGGTCTGTAAATAATCGAGTCTGGACCAGACAATCCAGTGATTGACATCGTGAGCATCGATCCAAGGTAGCTTCAACGTGAGCAATATTAAAATTGAAGTCTGCGTGAAGGTTGTCATTATCTATGATTGAGACAAATTGAATAGGTTCAAGGTGTCCCAAAAGCCCAACGATCGTAGGTTATGAAGCAAATCCACGTTCTTGTGGCAATTATATGTTTGATGTCGAACACATGGGCACTTTCTTGATATCAATAGTCGAATATGTGTCATTTCCTCTTCACCTTGTTAAATCAAAGTAAAGTAAATTATTGCGGCCACAATAACGATCTCTCATCCCAGTTATCGTTTGGTGCTTTTTGTCATCAAGTGACGTTTCTACAGTCTGGTTCTACTTGCCGGCTTCTGTTTTAATGGGGTTCATCAGTGTTGTTCTTTGTACTTTTCTAATCTATTTTGAGTCTTGAAAACAACTGATGAAACCTTGTCAATAAAATGAATGCTTGTTTATCCTTTGTGTCTTTTTGTACTGATGCCTGCGTGATTCAGTTTCAGATTGGGGTCAGATGGAAAAAAAAGCTATCCTCTGTTTCCGTTCACAGGTGGCGCAGTCGTCTTAGGCGTCCCTTGGGCACGCCAGAAACCTATGATTGTGGGTTCGCATCCCGGTTCGCCCCGATTATGATTATGTTTATGATTAAGTTTGTCAGCACCATACCCGTGCTCGTGGGTTTTACCGGTGGTAAACGTCTGAGACCTGC